ACTGTAAAATACCAAAGAACACTGGACAACAGTCTTAAAGAAAATGTTTATAATTACTTTTGAAAGAACTTTGTAGGTTTGGTATGTTAAATTGTTGAATAAATAGAGGATATTACATGGGCGCGCGTAGATACGGATTTTATCTTTGAGTGTTCAATTTGATATCTCACGAGCGAGCGCAGCAAACGAGTGAGATATCGATTGAACACGAGAAGATAAAATCCGTATCTACAAGCGCCCATGTAATGTTCTGTTTATTATATAAACTCCAATGAAAAAGCAAACATTTTATTCTTAAATGCATGTCAAACAAATCTGAATATTTTAAAATAGATGCGTCAAAACATAAGCAATTCAATGTCAATTTCTTACTGTCTATCCTAAACTATTGAGGATAAAATTGTCAATAAGACAATATCAATAAGACAAGAAATATGATAATTCTGACTATAAATAAAGATAAAATTATAATAAATCGCGAAATATTGCAAACTGTTCCAGGTTAAACTTGAATGTAAAGTTTATAAGTTAAGCTAAGTTAATTTTCCTGGCTGCTGCCGCTATCCGACGACTCAATACGAAGTACTCGTCGAAACTTCTTTCTCGGTTCAACTGGAGGGCTGCTATATGGTGCCATATTTATGTTGAAAATTCCTCCAGATATTGTATTTCCATAAAACATTGTTTGAAGTTGGTTTTCTTGGACTGAGGAGGTTGATGAGCTTGCTTGATAGAAATGTTGTGCTTCGGCTGTGTGAAACTCTGATCGTTGTGCGACTGAACACTCGCGCTTTGTTGTACTTGAACTCAGAATGTTTGATATATTTTCTATTTGTCGCTCTCGGAGACTGCTGTAATTATTTACTGACTGCAAGTTTCGGTGTCCAGTTATTTGAATGATCTAGTTTGGGGGGACATTACTATCCTGTAAATTTTGCACTAGCGTCTTTCGTCCAACATGGTTTGTTTTGCGGGGAATTCCACCAGCGTTGCACATGTCGTTCAACATGCTGTTCAATTTATTTACTCCCACGGGCTGTGCTTTAAACCAATTGCTTTCACTATTTTTGCCTTGAATAGATGTTTTGAAGTAGTTGCAAGAAAGATAAAATGGAGCATCAGGTTTCAACATTATTTCTGGCCGCTTGTCTCGGTAAAGTTTGTATATGTTCACTGGATCTCGCTCGGCTGTGACTTGTTTGTTTTCATACATTCTTGGTTTTACTGTCCTGACATTCCTAGGATCATCACCTTGTCTTGTTTTTGTTTGTCTCTCTGAAAGGACAABATATTTTTYCCCCTGACTATCAGTCTCTAAAGCAACGTCGCCCCAACACAAGCTCCTCTGTTCTGTACAACCCCTGAGACCGAAGTGAATCATGTTATTCAGCCAGACTGAATTCAACAACGCTTGTGGAGAACTGGCTCCCAAAACATTCTTTTGAAAAAGAATATTAATCTCCTCGTCTGTTAAAGCAGTTGTTGCGTTGGGTTTGCTTCCTCGACCTTGCTTTTTTAGCTTCTTTTGCTTGGCTTTCAGAGCGTCCCTCAACCTCGAAAACTCCGGGTCAAAAAATAGCCTTTTGCCGTATTYTTTTCGAGTCAGGTATCTGTCAATACTTGATAATATTCCTCTGAGAGATGATGGTTCGTAGTCGTTGCCTTTCTTTGTCCTTGCAGCAATAATAAATTCGCTAAGGTACACATTCAGCTGCTCTGGCGGGATTTTCTCCAAATCTCGGCTTTCGTTTCGCTCCTCTAGCAGAAACTTCAAAACGATGTTCAGGTCATAGGCGGTTTTTTTCTTTGTATTTTCGTTCTCTTCTTTAGCTATGAGATTGTCGACGTCTTCCCGAGATACTGTAGCTAATCTTGATTTAGTATTTTCGGGGTTTTCATTCAAGATATCAAAGTTCCAGTGTGGTTCGTTTGCTTCAGCCATTTTCAACAAGCGAGCACATTCAAAGCGTGTGTTTGCATGGAGTATCCATGGTAACGTGTTATTTTCACATGTGAAATAACATGTTATTTTCACGTGTGAACATATCAATTTTTCGCGCGAGAGATCACCTGA